CTCCCCAAATACAGCTCCCACTATCAGTGCTTGATGGATAAATGTCTGGCGTCTTTGTCTAAGGGCTCTGTGCGCTTATACTCTGGTGCTATCACTTGAAAGGTGCAGCCACAGTTGGCTGGTCCGGGGCAACAAAACGGCTACATTAAACTGAGTCGGCAAAATCTTAAAAGGATTAATCAATAATTGCAGTACTACCTATTTAAATTAATTGACCAACATTTCCATGCAAGAAGAGTTGCTGATGTCCATTCTCTGTCCTGAGGGTTTTACTGGAAAGACTTTATGCTTTAAATGTGATTGAAAAGAGTGCTGAAAAGATCTGTATGTCAGGAATGAACACTGCTCCCTAATCCTTTGAATTCTAATTTAAAATACAGATACAGACACTGGGAGTTTTGTGTGTGTTTGTCTTTAATCCATTTTCAATTCCCAAGGTACACTTAGTAAAGTGTATCTGTACCTAAACACTGGTATCTTTAATGACTCTTTCCAATGTGCCCCTCCACACACAGATATTTTGCATTTCTAATTTGCCTGATACACAGGCAACCAACGTGCATAATTGAACTGCAAAATGGAAGCATGCTTGCTACTTTAGTGAAATTAGAATTCAGTGAAGGTTATAAAAATATTAAACTTAATATCATATTACAGGAAGCGTTAAGTATTTTTGATGGGCCCATAATTTTACCACTTCACCTGCTGTATCCGCTGGCAAACATGGTTTGGAATATTAATGGAAAACTCCCTCATTATTAAACTGCAGCATTAAAAAAAAAAAAAAATCCACAACCACTAACAGCTTACCACAAAGATATTTTCAGAAATTATGTGCCTTAAAAATATTTTCCCACCATACAGTTCAGAAAATAGATTTAATTTTATAAAGCTAGAACAAATGGGAAGATCCCCCACTGCCTCAAACAATTCGTTAATTCATAAAGTTCTTTATTCCTCACATTTGAAATCTCAGGAGGAAAAAAAATCCAACCTCCTCTTCTCCAATCATTATTTAAGTGTGCCTATTTTGCTGAGGTCCAGATTAAATAATTCAAAACCATCTCTAGTTGATAGCACATATCATGGAGCAAGGGGCCAAAAGCACAGCATTCTGGGCCAGGGAATGCAAACAGAAAGCCCCCTGCACCCCCTACCTAGATGTTGCCCCATCCAAAAAGCACAAACTCCAGAAGGGGCTACAATAAAAATGAGATGAGATGAGCACCTATGGAAAGGACAAAGAAAGGATTCAAATCACAGGTCCAAGGGACCAGATCCTAAAGCAACTCTTTGGGAAAGCCCACACATTATAATCCACTGACAAGAAAAGTTTAGGTTATGCCTGAGTCCAATGTTACTTTACCACCTAAGTTTATAAAAGCGAGTTTTTTTTAAGGACCCAATAAGTGATCTGCCATGTTCTGAAGAAAACAGAGCCTAAACTTTTGAAGCATAATGTAAGGTCCCTTGAACATCAGAGTAATGTGAAAAGGTGAGAAGAGCTTCACAGGGTATGTCTGAAAGACATCTGGCTTTCCATGTCACAATCTGGACTGGTGCGCCTTCAAAACCCTGACCCCTCTGGCCAGCACAAGTGCCAGCTCCATGGGCGGACATCATCATCACCATCAACCCTCCCTCTCTTCCCACCTTCCTGTCCCCCTCCTGTCTTTCTTTCCTTCCCCCTCCCTCCCTTCCTCCTTCCTCTATTGAAAATAATGATTTACGACCTTCCCTAACAACTAGTGCACCCCAAGGTTTTCAGAAATGGGAAAAATGCACTGGTTATGTCCTTCTCAGGTATGCAGCGACACTCTGGGTGGTGGGCAGGGCAATGCTAGCAGTATTTTAAGTTGATTTGGTGGCCACCTTTCTAAAGATTATATCTGAAAATTTACTAGCAACTTTTCACTATAAAACAAATGAATATTACAGAAGGAAGAAAAAACACAAATTTCTTCCCAAATTAAGAAAGGTCTGTAAATAAATAAAATGTAGGGGTGAACTGATTTCTAAACAGTCAATTCAAGCATTATGCAATCCACCTTCTTCAAAAATTAGCTGGTTTTTGTCAAAGGGAGAGGAAGAATAATGTAACCCCACTCTTGTACCATGCTGTTGATCATGCAGTATTTGTAAATATTCTGTAAGGTACATACTCTTCTCCCTACTTTACAAACGAGAAAACAAGAACCTAGAAAGGTTAACAGGTAGGTCAAAATTCAGCCAGCTGGTTAAACAGCATAACTGTCTTCCTGTTCCGGTTTCCTGACCTCAAATCCACCAATCTTTGAAGACAGCGGGTAAAACCAAGCTTGGCCATGTGTGCATCTGGGGAGAAGGGGGTGCTGGCTTTTGGATAATGGGTACTACCTGCCCACTGGTATCCTCCTCCTCCTGAGAACTCCATGAACTCACCAAGATGTCATTGTGTAGCTGTATTAATACCAAGAGGACCTCTGGACAAGGGCAGGGCTTTTTATCCCAAGCTATACATGTCTAATAAATGATGAAGTAGTCCCTCAGCACATACCACTGCAGCAAATGGGGCTAGCTCCTTTGCTGACTTGCACGGCTGTCCTGGAAATGCCATGATATCTGGCTTCACCTTGGTTCCCCTCAAGCACTGAGATAAATACCAAACAGTAACAAAGGAGCCCTTTCTAAGGTGCAGATATGATCTTGTCTCATTTAGGAAGAAAGTCTACAGACACATGGACATTTATTCTTCAACTGCTTTTTCCCCAAAATACATTAAACTTTGAGAATGATGGTACTTTTTATATTCATACATAAGTGGGGTCGTCCTCTTAAACACTACTGAAGCAGTTTAGTATGATAGAAAGAGCACTGGATCAGGAGCCGGGCCACTACCTTCAAATACCAGTGCTGCCATGACCATCCATGTGACCCTTGATGGTCATGCCATGTGCTTTACTTTCTTATCTGCCAAAGGAAGGCCATAACCACAAAGTCTTGGTCTTCCTTGAGTGAACAATCATAAATCAGAATAAAGGCAGAGTTCGTTTTTACTTTTTAAAAATTCTTATGATGGGGAAGAATGAATTTTCCTGAAAGACAGACAGAGACGCCAGGTACGATGGCTCACACCTGTAATCCCAGCACTTTGTGGGGGCCAAGGCAGGCGGATCACTTGAGGTCAAGTGATTCAAGATCAGCCTGGCCAATATGGTGAAACCCCATCTCTACTAAAAATACAAAAATTAGCCAGGTGTGGTGGCAGGTGCCTGTAATCCCAGCTACTCAGGAGGCTGAGGCATGAGAATTGCTTGAATCTGAGAGATGGAGGTTGCAGTAAGCCGCGCTCACACCACTGCGCTCCAGCCTGGGCAACAAAGTGATACTCCATCTCAAAAAAAGAAAAAGAGAGAGAGAGAGAGACATATACATACACCCATCCATATATATTTATATTTGGTATCAGAAAACACACCAACATTGTACAACTACCTACTGGGATTCTTTTATCCAGAAACCATGCTGCATTCCCTGTTCTTACTATGAAAATTGGTAATCCTCACCTAATGACAAACTTGCTCGAATGTGATATGGGCATGGAAATCGAGGGGAAGCAAACAGATAAAATACGGGAATAAAAGATTTCAGCTGCTCTTGATGTCACCAGAAAAATTTTAACCATACAGATCCAGGGGATATAGAAATGCCAAAATAGTAGTCCCTTCCTTTCTCCAGAGTGCTGCAGTCCAGAGCATGGGCTTCAGAGCTAGCCGGAATGATCCACATCTTGGCTCTGTCAATTGCTAGCTTCATGATCCTATGACTACCAGTCTCCTTCTTAGCAAAATGGAGGTAACAACACATCCCTCACAGGGCAGGTAAGAGAAATGACATGAGACAGTATATGTGCAGGTCCAGCATATAGAAGCCCCTCAATCAATGCTGGCTTCCACCCTTCTGACTTCTGGATAATAACCTGATTCAAGAGTCCACATCAGGTCTTGCAGACTCAGAGAAGCACAGGGGGAGAGCTGGCATGGGTGCGCCATAATGAGAGAGACCAACAGATGCAGGGAATAAGAGTTTGCAGAAATGATCAGATAATGAAACACCTTATATCTTTCCAAAGAGGTGAATCATTTTCTTTAAGGTGTCAAATGAATAGCCAAATGTACCACAATCAAAATCTATCATGGAAAAAGCCAGATAGGTACTCATGTCAAATGAGCAGTAGCTTTTATTGATGCAGAAGCCTCTGTGACACGGAGTCACCTGATATTTACAGGATAAATACACACTCCCCCATAGCTCCTTCTTAGCTACAGAAGTTCTAATGAACTCAAAGTTTATCCCATTTCTAAAATACATTTAAACTCCAACCAATCACTGACATCTCCTTAATTCTGAAATTCAATTCTCAATTTGGGCACTTTATCAGCATCTTTTCAAAAGTTGGACTTTGGAAAATATATGCACTCCCAGACAGAAGAAGAAAAAACCCATCAGACATGCACCAAACTGACACCCTTGAATATATTCCAATTTCCTCAGCCCTCATCTCCCTTAGCGTTTCACAATCAGTAACATGTAGTGGCCAATCACTGGAAATGACATGTGCTTAACGTCAGAAATCACTTAGCTTAAATAAGAAAATAACTCCATTTAGCTTTCTCCCACAAAGTAAAATTAAGTTTGTTTAGCCTTTTTCATTTATTGCCAAAGGGCAGATTTAATTTCAAGGGAGTGAAAACAAAACTCATTCTGAAGTAAAGTCTAAAGTTACCACTTCGGTTTTGCTCTATTGAGGTGCAAGGGGACTGTAAGCATTGAAGTAAGGAGGCATTAATTACGGAAAAACAGGCAACTGGGACCCAGCTTTTTGATCGGAGAAGGAGGGTTGTGGGGGAAGTGGAGAGAAGTCTATCATCTTTTGCTACCCTGCATTTACAAACTTTAAGAAAACCTATGGTCTAGGGGCCTTTTAGCCTGCCCTCCAGGTCTTCAATCTCGGGACTTACCAGAAACATTAATTGAGGCCCCTGCATCGATGATCCCGCTGTTGGGCCTCACACAATACCTACGTGGTGCTGTGGTCTTCACCTTAAAACACACATTTCGGTCTGTCGGGTTGCCAAGCTTTAGGTTGGTGGTGACAACATCGGTAAAGGGACCTGTAGAATGAGACAGAGACTGATTGGGGATTTCATGAGGAAAGTTTAGAAGGTTTATGGAAACGACAGCCATAAATACAATTAAGGGAAGATTTGAGATCCATGATTATCTCATTAACATGCTAATGGATGGAAGAGATGAGCTGAGGTTAATGCACTAGCAGTAAGAGCTAATATTTACCATGTTCCCAGTATTTCACCAGATATCTAGTGTAAGTGTTCTAACATGTGGCATCTCACTGAAACCTCACAACTTTATGATTATTGCTGTCTTACAGATGAGAAAACTGAGGCTTGAGGAAACAAATTACTTATCTAAGTTTTCATGATAGTGGTAGTGAGAATCTGTAACCAAATGGCTTGCATCTAAGGTCAGTTCTTACCCATGCTAAATACCGATTTCTATAATAACAATATGAAATCTAACAGGGAGAGTGTAAAGGACTAAGCTCAGTCCAAAAGTGTGTGAAGAGGAGCAGATGGAAGAAAGAGTTTGAGGTGTTAATGGTCTATAAACACAGAAACTCTCAACATTATAGTGTTACTGAAGAAAGCTTAATATCATCTTAGGCTATAGCAAGAAGTTCAGAGTCCTGCTGGGCAGTCCACATCTGAACCATTACAGACAGTATTAACTACTCGGGCTACCGAGAAGATTGAAACAGGCTCAGTGGCCTGAGGATTTTTTTTTTTTCTGGGACAGAGTCTCACTCTGTCACCCAGGCTGGAGTGCAGTGGTGCCATCTTGGCTCACTGCAACCTCCGCCTCCTGTGTTCAAGCAATTCTTCTGCCTCAGTCTCCAGAGTAGCTGGGACTACAGGCACGCTGATTTCAGCCTCCCAAAGTGCTGGGATTACAGGAGTGAGCCACTGTGCCCAGCCCTAAGGATATTTTTTATTACTATTATTTATTCGCTTCCTACTTTATTAGATTTTTTAATTAAAAAAGTAAAACATGCTTCTTGAAACAAACCAAACAATAAAAGATGTATAAACAGGAAGTTAATAAGCTTTCCCTTGTCCCCCGAGGTAACTAATATTAACAATACAGGAGATCTTTCCACATTATCTGTGCTTACACAAACAACACATGCACACATATGCAAGGGATGGGGGCTAAAAAATAATGAAATAATACTATTCCTATTACTCTGAAACTTGTTTTTCATTTACCCATCTATGGTGGACATGTGATCTCTGTGTTTATTAGTCAGGTGGGTTAGGATGAACTACAAAAACACAGGTCCTTTTCAACACCTTTTCAAATTCACGTATTTTTCACCTGTAAATCAGAATTTCTGTTTCCTCTAGGCAAGTTCTTTACTCTTGTCTTTACATTTACAAGGAGGCAGAAGGTGAAGGTAGGGAAAGGGAGTGTGCTTGTGTGTTCACAAACAAATATGTAATGTTGCTTCATTTGTTCCCCAAGAAGACCCAACAAAAATGTTCAAATTTGTGTTTTGAAAAATTTTTCAGTGAGACTCTAAGCTCCTGAGGGCAAGGATTATACCTTACCCATCTCTATAGCCCCAGCACTGTGCCTGGCATTGAATGAAGGTCTACAATCTATATATTCACGAAGAAGAAAACTACCTGTGAATTATCTCCAGCAAAATTAAAATCTCAGGCTGGTGTCTCTACTCTTGAGGTGCTCAAGGTATGAAAAAAGTCAGCCTGATATGGGCTTACCTTAACACGAATTAAAAAATCAAAAACAGTGATAAAGAAGGAAGGAAATGGTAGTCATTCCCAAAATCAAATGACAGCCAGTTCTGCTATGAGGCTTATTTTGAAAACACAAATTTGATCCAATGTGACTGATATGAGTATCAGGGAGAGAATCTGGGCATAAAATAATTTTTGCATTTGTTTCTGCATGATTTTATCTGCTATCAACACTAGGTGAACACAGAAAACTGCTCCTGACTAAACCTAGCTGCAAAGAAATACAGAAAACACACAAGCACACACACCTCACCCACCTACAGGATACCTCAGGTCACCTCGTGGATAATGAGCCACACCTGTCCGCAGCTGGTGGTACAACTTTTCATACGATTTCAGGTGATCCTCCTTACTTCACATCATAGTAACACAGGAAACAACTCTTCTGATGTCCATATCGACAGACAAAATTTGGGTCTTTTTCAAGAAAAGTGCCGTATCTGCTGTAGCATTTGTCTTTTACAAGGACCCTATCTTCGTGCATATGTCACCAACAGTCTTTGAGTACTGTGCCCCTAACCACACTTCCCTCATAAGCCCTGTGGTTGTTACCGAGCTATTCTGTATAGCGTGGTGATTCCAAGAACGCATTACAGCAGAACTGACTATACTACTGCATCATCCATTGTTTCGTGAATTATTATGCCAAACACTGTTCTCATTCCACAAGCAGTGAGACCTTCACAGATGAAACACTCCAAGAGAATTTCTCCATTTGCTTACCTTTCTATCACAAACAACCCTATCACTACATTCTAAGTCAGCTCCCCATGGGAAACTAAGAGTACAGAGGAGGCCAGGAACCTGTGGCCCAAAAGGATTTTCAGCTACAGTAAGGGAGAGCCAGATGCTGACGCCGCTCCATCCTTGCATCAAAGTTCTTGGCATAAAAGGGAGCAATAGGACACTTGGTGCTGAGGCAGTGCTAGGGAGATTACGGAGGCAGCACTCTCTGTGACTACCCTTTTCCACTCTCCAACACAAGCAGTCTGACTCATAATAAAGGTGGAAAAAAGTCTGACCTCCTAGTAAGTCTCTTTGCTTGCTTAAGGAGTGGATCGCTTCAGCACTCACAGGGTGGGGGAAAAAGAATAACTATGCGAGCTCTGATTTTCTAGGGTCAAACACACACACACAGACAGGCATAAGGGGCACACAAACCTATGAGGGCACAAGCAAATCACCATATACATGCATTCCCTAACCCTCATCTGAAAACCGCAACTCAGAAGAACTCCACATAAGCACAGCAGCACCACAACGCTAGGGGAAGGAAGAAAAAAGTTGACAAAAATACACATGACATAAAGGGAAACCTGAAAAGAGGTGAGCTTTCAAATATAAAGCCTAGGGATGAAAGGTACTCAATGACAGTTTGAATGTGATTCAAAAACTCTCAGGCCACAAAGCGTTCTAAATCTAAGCTTAAAGTTACCAGTTTCAACAAGATTCTGCCTCAAAAATATGCAAGTTTCTTCAGATCAGAATGCCAAGAATTCACAATGGCCCCCAAAACATCCAAAAATACATAGATCTTTTCTTCTAAGATGTTTTGAAGTACAGTGAGAGTAGAAAATAGAGATGCTAGCAAGATTTCACTGTGATGAAATGAAGAATACTTACTAGCTTCCAGCTCAGCTTCTAGTGTCTTTTCCTTCCCTCTCCCCCTTATGAAGTTGTGGTGTGGAGATCCCAAATTTAAGTATTTGTTTATTCCTTACACTGACCTTTTTTTTCAAGGTACTTGAACAAAAATAAACCAAATTTAAATGTAAACACTTAAATGTTTTTGAAAATTTCCGGCCGGGCACGGTGGCTCACACCTGTAATCCCAGCACTTTGGGAGGCCAAGGCAGGTGGATTACCTGAGGTCAGGAGTTCAAGACCAGCCTGGCCAACATGATGAAACCCCATCTCTAAAAAAAAAAAAGAAAATATCCCCAGGTTAATCAATTAACTGCTATTACACAGCAATCTTAATGGTGCTTCAACTTATATAAATCACATAAAAGGAAGTCTAAATTGTTAAAAGACAAGCAATATTTATAATAACAAACAGGATAAAATAAACATCCCAGATTTCTCCCTCAACAATCCTGCATCTTTATGTGCTTGGAATTTCTTGGCCTTTTACAGGCTTTCAATTGTAAAAATGTGGAGGGAGCTATACCTGAAAACATACGCAATGAAACAACATTATTGGTAAAATACCAAAGTCCCAGCAAGATGTTTTGTAAGAGCACACCAACTCTTCTCTCCCTACTCTGGGTTATTTACTCTAAGAATTTTATTGAAAATAAATTCTAGCCGGGCGCGGTGGCTCAAGCCTGTAATCCCAGCACTTTGGGAGGCTGAGGCGGGTGGATCACAAGGTCAAGAGATCGAGACCATCCTGGTCAACACGGTGAAACCCCGTCTCTACTAAAAATACAAAAAAATTAGCTGGGCATGGTGGCGCGTGCCTGTAATCCCAGCTACTCAGGAGGCTGAGGCAGGAGAATTGCCTGAACCCAGGAGGCGGAGGTTGCGGTGAGCCAAGATCGCGCCATTGAACTCCAGCCTGGGTAACAAGAGTGAAACTCCGTCCCAAAAAAAAAAATAAATAAAATAAATTCTATTCGATTTGAGTAATTATAGGAAATAAACCATGTTAGTGTTCTCTTTTTCCCCTGTATTAATGGATTCGAATACAAAAAACCCTCAATAAAAATGATGTAAAGGCTTATGAGCATCATTCAGATTTTTACTAGTCACTTTCATTTCATAAAACTGCCATTTCCATTAAAGCATTATGTAAAAAATGGGATTTTACTATACCAACATGCATATTTATCACCAATGAATTTAAACATTGCTTATCAAGTAGAGTCAATTTTACAAATGAAACCTCCTTCTAAACTTCGAATTTTTCTTTCAGAGATTAAAAACATGATGTGTCTCTAGAACCACAGAATATACTTTTAACCATTTTTAATCTTCTATTCCTCATTTCAGATAATATCTGTACAAAACTAGTAACTAAGCATCTAAAATGTGCAATGGGAGGTTAAAAAATGAAGAAATATGAAATTGGGAGAAATTGGCAGTACTCTTTGAAACTGTTACTCTTTTTAATAACGTAAACAATGCCCTGTATGTGCTAGAATATGCATATATTCATCTGTGAAAATTTTTGTGAGTTTGTTGAAGATGCTTATGAAACATCACTAACTAACTGAAAATGAATTCCCTGACATGCTCTAAAAGGTATTTAGATAAAACTAAACACAGTATAA